GTCAAACAGTTTTTCTAGCTTCACACCCTTTGTAAGTGGCAAAGCTGGCATTCAGACTTGTCTCTAGAAATTTTAGTCTTAACTTGAAGAGGAACCACATAACTACTTCATTGTAGGATTCTTCATTATTGGAAGGTCTTTACAACTAGAATAAAATAGTACTTTTTTTTATAACTATTCTTTATTATAATGAGCCTTTCTTTGAAACCATATTTTTTCCAATTTACTTTATTTTTATTTAACAGTGTTCCTTCTAGGAAACCCCTAGTCTACTTTTTGTCTTAATGGATTTGCCTGTTCTGGGCATTTCATGTAAATAGAATCATACAAATCCCCAAAATGTGTCTTTTATGTCTGTTTTCTTTCAGTTAGCATATTTTCAAGGTTCATGCATGCTACAGCATTTATCAGTATTTGTTTTCTTTTTGTGGCTGAATTATATTTCCATGTATGAATATACCACATTTTGTTACATGGTCATCAGTTGATGGATATTTGGTTTGTTTCCACTTTTCAGCTATTATGAACAATGCTGCTATGAACATCAAGGTACAGATTTTGGTATAAACATGTGTTTTCAATTCTCTTGAGTATATACCTGGAATGGAACTATTGAATCAGATGGTAACTCTTGTTTCAATTTTTGAGGATCTACCAAACTGGTTTTTTGTTTTGTTTTTTTCCACACGTAGTGGCACCATTTTTTAAGTTCCCACAAGCAATATATAAGAATTCCAATTTCCCCAAATCCTCATCAATCCTTTCCTTTTTTTCTTTTTCTTTTTCTTTGTATTATGACTGTTGTAGTGGGTCTGAAGTGCCATCTCATTATGATCTTCATTTTCATTTCTCTAATTACTAATGATGTTGAGCATACTTTTAACATGCTTATTGGCCATTCGTATATCTTCTTGGTAAACTTCAAATCCTTTGTCCCATTTAAAATTAGGTTATCCTAACTTTGGGGTTAAGAATTCATTTATAGATAGTAGACCCTAATCAGATAGGTGATTTGCGAATATTTTCTTGATTCTGTGAGTTTTCTTCTCACTTTGTTGATAATGCCCTTTAAAGCATAGAAGTTTTAGCTTGAAGTTCAGATTATTTTTTCTTTAGTTGCTTATGTTTTGAGTGTTAGATCTGAGAAACTTGCTTGTTTATAGTCATGAAAATTTACACCTGTGCTTCTAAGAACTTTATAATGTTTTTATATTTAGGTGTGGTTCATTTTGAGTTATATGTTGTATATTGTATGAGGTAGAGGACCAAATTCATTGTTTTGCATCTAGTTGTCCCAGGACCACTTGTTGAAAGACTGTTTGTTTGTTTGTTTTGTTTGTTTTTTTCTATTAAGTGGTCTTGGTACCCTTGTCAAAACTTAATTGACTGTAGACATATAGGTTTATTTTTGGATTTTAAAATCTGTTCCATTGGTTTATATGTCTATCCTTATGCCACTACCACACTATTTGATTATTATAGCTTTGTATTAAGTTTTGAAATTGGGAAGTATGAGTCCTTCGCCTGTTTTTTCCTTTTAAGATATTTTTAGCTACTTGGAGTCCCTTGCATTTCCAACAAATCTGAAAAAACAAAAAGACTGGGCATTTTCAGGAATTGCATTGGATCTGCAAATCAATTTAGGAAGTACTGCCATCTTAACAATTTGTTTTCAATTTTAAAAAAAGAATATATTTCTATTTATTTAGATCTTCAGTAAAATTTTTGGTTATCTTCATGTGAGTCTTGCACATTATTGCTAACTGTTAATTTCGAAGATTTTATAGTGTTTTTTTAAGATATATCGAGGGATCTTTTAGCATAATTTTTTTAATTGGCTAATGCTACATAGAAAAGTTTGGGCATTTTTTTTTTGTTTATTTTTGTTTTTTTAATCAGGGTAGATAAATAGATGAAAAGAATAGAGTAGAAAGTCTGAAAACAGTCCCACACATACAGGCTATGTGATGTAAGACAAAGGCCACACAAAAGTACTAACCATTAAAAATATTTATTAACTTTATTTAAATTAAAACTTGTGTTTATTTAAAGATTTTATTAAGAGAGTGAAGAAAAGACAAGCCATAAACAGAAAACATTCTTGAAACATTTCTGACAAAGGATTTGTGTATAGAATATGTAAAGAACTCTGTAAACCAAGAGAAAAATAAGCAAAAGATGAACAGGAATTTCAAAAAGATATCTGAATGGGCCATAATATGTTAGTCATTAGAAAAATAAATATTAAAACCACAACATACTCTGTGGGCCTACGAAAATTAAAAAGACTGATAATGTGAAATGTTGGGGATTGTGTGAAGCAACAGAAACTCTCATACGCTGCTAGTGGAAGTATAAAGTAATCAACTGCTTTGGGAAAATATTTAATGCTTTCTACTAAAGCCAAATCTACGTCGACCTTATAACCTAGCAACTCCACTCCTAGAATATATCTGAGAGAAACGGGGGCTGATGCCTACCATCCACCAAAGATACATGTATAGTATTATGTTTACAATCTTTCTATGGAGCCCTAAATTGGAAGCAACCCAAACACCAAATATTAGAATGGATAGATAAATTTTGGTATTTTTATATAATGGAATACTAAGCTGCAATACAAAAGAACACATCATTCATACTATGTAAGGAATGGATGAATGTCACAGATAGTACTGGGTGAAAGAGTCCAGACATAGAAGAATACATAGTATATGATGTCATGTAGATGGACAATATAATGGTTATCTCAGGATTTGGAGGAGGGAAGGTGGCTGTTGCCAGGGAAAAGGAGCAAAGTTTCTGTGGTGTTGGAAACATTCTATCTTTGGTCTGGTTGGTAAGTATATGAGGGTGTATCATAATAAAGATTCATTGATCTGTGTACATGACAGGCATTTTGCACTTCACTGTGTATACTTTAAAAGTAAAATGCGTATTTGTATATAGAAAAAGGTTGAATAAAGTAGGCACCATGCTTAATCATCATTTTTTAAATTCAAAACATGACCTCTACTAGAGACAAATGAAGGGTTTTGACAAAGATAACCAAGATACCTGTACCTTCAGTTTTTTAATAGGAGTTTAGAGATCACAAATAAGAGTCATAGGAGAGAAAATGTGCCAGGGGTTGTCTGTATATTTTCCCCCAGAGAGGACAATCATGGTGTTTTGAAAAGGAGCTTCAAAGCAAGTGACTCCTTAAAGTTTTCAAGTCTGTTGCATAAGCAGTATGTGTGACAACTACTATCCTCCCAGTTGGTAGGAATATGGTGCACTTGAGACAGTAGAATCTCTTACGAACCACTGATCTGGAGCATTACTTCATGGCCATTAAAATTCCTTGCTTTGCCTGTTTTGTACACTGAGCAATTGAACATGTACATTTCAGTGAAATTCAGTTATATTAACATTGTAGTTATTATAATTTCCTAAGGTTCAGTAAACTGTATTTGAGAGGTTTTCCTATTTTTATGGGAATGCAGGGTCACACACTAGTAAAAGAAAAGTTAACTCCTGAAATTCTGTTCCATGATTAACTTTATTTTGTTAGTATGCACCTAAATGTTCTCAGATCGTTAGTGGGTTTTTGTTTTGTTTTGGTTTGGTTTTTGACAGTGAATGGTAATGCTGACAGTTCAATTTTATGATTAGGTTTCTGTCCACCTATCAATATATGTTTGAGGAATTTTTTTTTAAGGGGACAAAGCATTTATTACTTATTTTTTGCCATGTAGTAGGTAATACCGCTAGGTAAATTAACACGTGGTGGCATATGAGAACTACATTAAAACTAGTCCCTAGGTGGTGAGTAAGGTTGAGTGGAAAGGGTTAATATGAACTCCAGTGGACCAGAACAGGGAGCCATTAGAATGCATCAGAGTCCTCCATGGTGGTCGTGGTCGTGGTGTCGTGGTGTCATGGTGTCGGGTGAATGCAAAAAGGTTGTTCTTTGAAGAGTGTATCTTCTTTACTTTCTACTACAGATCTTGTGGAACTGGAATCATTATAGTGAGGTGCTCTTCAAATGTTAATTCAGATCTAAGTGCCTCCCTGGTTTTGACCTATCCTTAGGAAAGGAGGAGAGGACATAGGCATGATGATCCTTTCAGTCCAGGGTGCTTATTACTAATGATTTTTGGCTTTTACTACTGCTGGTGCACCTCCTTATATGTCATCAATTTGGATTGCTCCCATGAGAAGATTCTGTTTTGCCTGTGACACCAGTTAGACACTACCTTTTCTTTATAGCATGTCTGATCCTTATTATGATAAGCAGAGTATAATTGCAATACAGTTAGTGGGAGGAATGTTAAGAAAGTATAGTAAAATTTCTGCAAGATAGAGATAATAAATATCAGGGGAAATCTGTGCATATAAGATAGCCGTCATTCATAGTAATCATAAAACAAAGAGATGTGCCTTTGCTGATACTTACAAACTCAATGAAATTCACTTCAGTTAAGTAATTTACTAGGCTGAGAACTGAAATGTCTGTAGAAGACATAATCTGATTTATGACTCTCACATGGACACTGTTTGAACTGTTTTTAGCACTCAAAGAGGTAATAGCATTCCTTCACATAATCTAAAAATGGTACAAATGGGACAAAAGAAAGAATACATATTTTAAATTCTCAGTGAGAACAGGAGAGCAGAGATACACAGTACTAATTAATGAAAGAAATGCTTGTAATGTAAGAAAACTTATACTTTAGAATTAGGTTCCAGTACAAACAGCAACTGTGAAGTACAGTAAAAAAGTATAGGCATCAAACTGAGCATTTTGCTCTAAGTAGTGAAGTTGAAGAATTTAGTAACGAGAACAGTTTTTAACAGAAAATTCAAGTTCTATCTGTTAGTAATCTTACGGGTGTCCAGTATTCTTTTTTAACTTGTGAATTAATGTATAACTCATTTCCAGTTTGTAAGCATTTTCAGTAAAAATTGATGATGTTTCTATTATTACATTTTCCTTTTTTCATTTCTCCCCCCCCCAGGAAACTTACTGGACATTCTTTCCACATGGGCTATAGCATGGCAATTTTGAATGGTGTTGTAGCTGCTCTTACCGTTGCATGGTGCCTCATGTAAACCAACACTGAAGCAGTTTCCTTGGCAAAACTTAAGTCATGGTCGCTTTGTTATAACAAGGAAGAACATCACTGCCTACTCCGAAGACCAAGAAACCTGCTGTTCATTATGTGATTCAGATACCTGTCATATCATCATTGTGGAAGACCTTTTGAAACACTGTTCTGACTGTTCCGGAACCTAGGCATTGGGTAGCTGAGTATTGTTTCAAGTAATTCTTAAAATTGTAAGATGTTTACCTCATCTCTACTTCTGTGGGTGTTATTTTTCTAAGCTGTAGAAAGCATTTTATTGGAAATCAAACTGGAAAACTTGAATACAGTACAATGCCTACCTTTCCATGTGTATACTACATGTTTTCTAAGAAATACTTATACTACTGTTTAATTGAGACAGAAATATATCTTAATTATTCATTATATCAGGAAAGCAAACAATGCCCACTACTTTGACATTTTATAGAAGCTACTTCTAAATCAGAATATTTAGTTTTTTATATTCCAATCAATAGAAGGTGCATTTATATTTTTTAATGGTGCATAGTTTCTTGTGTGTGTGTGGTTTTTTTTACATATTTTTCTATTACATATTGAATTTGTATGTTTTAAAAATTGTTACATCTGGACAAATGAAAATACTACTCTTTAGCTTGCGCAAACCTAATACCTACCATTTTTAATAAGTATTTTGCTTTTTTAAAAAAACATTGACCTTAGTTTAAAATTAAGTAAACTTATTTTTTAACAAAAAAAGTGTTTATGCCATTAAAATCCTGAGAAATTTGAAGCTGTTCACTATTTCTGTTTCCACAATTCCAAGTATTTATCCTGGTGTATATATATTTACTTCTATAGAACTGATTTATTTTGTTTTTAGTAAATATAAACCTGACATTTTTATATTTAGGATTGCTTGAAGTAGTTGGTTTTTAATCTCAAAAATTTAGTTACTGAAATAGAAAAGGTATTTTGATACAGTATGTATATATGTATAATTTTTTATATATAGTTTCATAATTTTCCTATTTAAATGTTCTTTTACAATTGTAGTGTGTTAGTTTTAGTTTTTATAGTAATTAAGCCTTCATTGTTCTCATTTCTAAATACCTGTTTGGAAAGTCATTTCAGTTTTTAAAAGATGGACTATTTAAAATGCTGTTTTCCTTAACCATAGAAAAACTTAGTTAGGAAAGCATTGTAGAGTGAAACTGGTTATTCAGGACAAATAGGAAATGAGTATGTGCAGCCTATTTCTGTTATCTGCTGAGTGTTATTACTGAATAAATGATTTAATGATGTTTCTAAAGTCTTAACATTTTCCTACTCAAAAACTTTTAGTTGGAAATGACAAATGATACTCTAAATGAAGTGAAGTGTTTAGGTTAATATGGGTATATTTGAGTATGTACATATAGACAGACATGCATACATATATATACACAAATCCAAGGCTTGAGGATTCCTTCCACAGTGGATGTTGCAGTGAATCTCTGTTCACTCTCCATCTTCCTCTCTCCACCCTTCCCAACCATGGCTCTAAAGGGCTCTTTTATTACAAAGGAACGTACAAGTTTTTCTTCTCTCCACTCCTTCTAACCACTTCCCACCCAAATCTGGATAGCTTCTTTCAGATTCTTTGTCTTAAAACTAAGAAAAAGATTACAGTAGATCTATATGTAGATATCTGTAAGATACAGATATCACCTGTAAGGTTTTTTCTGGAACCCTGTTTCTTCTGGACTAGCACTCTTGAGAAATTACTCTCCTCTCTCCATTGTAAGATAGGGTCCAAATAGAAACCATCCTACTTACACAGTGGGGGGATTGACTCACCAAAACTGGGCCAATCCTAGTTTGCCATGTCTCCCAGCCACAGTGATTACAACAGGAATAAAGATGTGACTCCTAAGACCAGTCTTTCCCCAGGATTTTTCAAGTTAAATTTAAGGTCTGATGAAGCCGGGAAGATAAAAGCCCAGGAGATGCGGGCAGCCAGGGTTCAGCCAAGCTAGGAAGGAAGGAGTGAGGCTGACATGTATACTGTTGATGACATTCCTCTAGGCCCTGAAGTCCAGTGATGAGCCTGCCATTCTTGAAATTTGGTAACATGAGCCAGTAAATTTCCTCCTTCAGCCTCTGCTGTTAATACTGGTTTTTGTCACTTTTAATAAAAGGAGTCAAGGTGAGTTTATCAAGCAGCTAGAATCCATCTCTATTATAGGACTGACTCAGATCTCACCTCCTTCTGTGTAGCTTACAACATTCCATTCAGTGACTTTTGAAGGATACATTTGTTATGTGTACTTGTGGCTAATGATTAGCCACAAAAGAATTTTGGAGTAAAATTAGTTACTAATCTATTTGCTGTTTCATCAAGAATTCATTATTTATGTCCCCAAATTCAATTCTGCCTTAAGTGTTGCCAGAATACTAGTTTAATTATCAAGATGTTGTGGTGTCCCCCCACCCTTACCTGTGGTTTTTGCCTTCCACATTTGAGCCAACTGCACCCCAAAAATGTTAAACGGAAAATTCCAGAAATATTTAATTAAAAATTCATAAGTTTAAAGTTACATACCATTCTGAGTAGCATGATGAAATCTCATGCCATTTTACCTGGTCATGAATCATCCCTTTGTATGCTATTCACCCCTTAGTCATTTAGTGGGCATCTCGGTTATCAGATTAGTTGTCACAGTGCTTATGTTCACAATGGATATGCCAAAGAGAAACTATAAGTGCTTACGGTAAGTGAAAAGGTGAAAGTTATCAATAAGAAAAAATTATATGCTGAGGTTGCTGAAGTCATGGCCACAGTATCTTATGTGCTTATATAATATAAGCTAGCTAAGAGGAAAAGGCATTAAATTTGTGGGTGGGGGACAGCAGAAAAAGTGTTGTAATTAGCAATTAACAACATTGCTCCAGAAAACATTGAGTCTATTCAGAGACTTCTTCAAGGGGTCCCCTGAAACAAGTGACCACATTCATATAACTTATAATACAATGTTATAATCGTATCTTATTGTTAATGTCTTACTGCACCTAGTTTATAAAGTCAGATACGTATGTGTAGAAAAAGTATATACAGCATTTGTTCATATTGTGGCTTCAGGCATCCACTAGGGGTTTTGGAATGAATTCCCCAAAGATGAGGGGAGGCTGCTGTTTAATGAGTTTTTAGTTATATATGTTTTAAATACAGTAGGATCAATGACTTAAAGATTCTCAGTTTCCTTATTTATAAAATGGGAACAGTACCTCTTCCTAACCTTAAGTTGGCAACCATCATTTTCCAAACCCTTTACAATACCACCAACTGGTTGCTTATTCTCCATGAGTATGCATGACCCTTATTTGATACCATATTTCTTAAGGCCAAGGTGATGACAATATGAACTACTTGAAGTTCTCCCTAGGGTTTTCCTTTTCTGTCAGTGTCTGTCATGCACAAACGAGTTTTAATGCCTTGCTCTTGGCTAGTAGCTACATAAGTACACAGAACACCTATATCAAGGGTGATACTTTGTTTTCGTTTTTGCAACATCAGTAAGTCAGAGGGAACTCTCATGAGGCCTTGTGGGTTGAATGAAGAGAGGCAGCATGGCAGGAGGAAGCATCCTGGGAATGTGATCGTGCCATTTCTTCATGCTTTTGGACTGATTTATGCTTCTCCTGAATGATGGAATTCAAAAATGCACGTATGTCACTGGTTCTCAACTAAAAGCAATTTAGCCTACCAGGGGCAAAATTTAGCAATTTAGCTAAATATTTAGCAGTGTTCAGACATATTTTTGGTTGTCACAACTGGTGATGACACTGGTTGGTAGAGGCCAGTGATACTGCTAAACATCTACAGCATCCAGGACAGCTCCCCAGCAGAAAGAGTAACAGTCAAAATTCAGTAGCCCCGATCCATGTTCATGGTTAGGTGAATCACGTAACATCCTGTTCAGAACGGACAGCTAGGGTGCCAGTGTTACCTGGAGTTCAAGGTTAGGTGTTCATTCTCTAAGAGGCCAACTAGAGCTGTTTTTCAAAAAGTTACTAGCCTACAAGGACTTGTCTTTGGACCAGCACCTGTGGGCCTCTGCCTCCCAAGGGCCTGTGTGTGTACTCAAGGGAGAAATGCTTCCACGAAGGTTATATATAACAATGCTATTGCTGAATTAGAAGCTGAGGCCACATTTGACCGTTTCCAGTTCCTTCAAGTTCCTTAGAGCAGTGGGCACACAGGCAAAATCGGTGTTACAGTACTGACTGGAGTGATTGATAATCCACCGAGGGGAAATTGAATTACTGCTACACAATGGAAGCCAAGAGGGGTATGGACACAAACTCCAAGGCCCCGAGTTGCTTCCTTGTTAGACTCCTTGTCAGTTAGTGGGATATTACAACCTTATACAGGCAGGGGCTTAAATCCCTCAGGAACGAGGATTTGGTTACCTCACCTGTTAAAGAGTTTTGGCTGAAAGTCAAGGGGGCATGGAATAAATATTGGTGAAAGTCATAAATACTAGCTAGGGTTTGTTTCCTGACTAGGTTCAAAAACAAAGAGCTATAGCATCTCCCTATATTTCTTTCTATGGCTTCTGTGTATTTTAACGAATTTCCCGGGTTTTTTTCCTTTTTCTCATTGTACATAGTATTTTTGACCTGGACTAACTATACTGTAGTGCATAGACTGCAGAATATTGTGATGGAATCGACATTTCCCTGAGATTCTGGATATGGAATTGAATATAGTAACCTGCCAGACTTTTGATTGCTTTCCTGTGGTGTAATTAAAGGACAACCAGAATATAATTTATTCAGATTTTCATAAATTAATGTTTTAGAACCAGCCTCCCCAAGAAAGTAATCTTAAATATGGAGTCACTGGGATACAAAACAAAATTATACAAAACTACAGGTTACCTCTCTGAGTAAAGAAGTATCTAGCAAGATGAGATAATTCACAAAGATCAGTGCTTAGAATAATATTTTTACTTATAATCTTGAAAATAGCAGTAGCACAAAACATCCAATTTTACAGGTGATACTAAACTATCCTAGATACTGAAATTTGGAAAAACTACAAGAATATCCCAAAGCACATACAAGTGGCCAGGAAAATGACAGATATTTGACAGTGGACAACTGGTAATATTATGGGGGAGAAAATCTAAATATATATGTAAGGGACCACCTGGAAAATAGTTAGAAAAAAATTCAAATGCATACTTTGAACTAAAGTTCTGGCCTCTGCTACTTGAGAAAAAGGAATGTTTCAAATCGATGCTGAAAAGATAGACCAAATGATCCTTAGAGCTTGCAAGTGGTAGAATTAGAAAAAATAAATTCCTCAGTCCATTGCAAACTTAAGAGAGTTTCTACCTATAGATAATGTGGGCTAAAAATCTAAATAGCATTGATAAAGGTTTATAAAACCGTAAATAATGGACGCAGTATTTAAAGGTAGAATGCTTCAGAGATATAATTAATCTTGGATGGGGTGCGGGGGGTGTTTTGGGAAGTAACCAAGTGGTTTGTGTTACTGCTATGGAAGAGCACTGAACTGGATGAAAATTGCTGACATTTACCCTAGCAACCTTTTCCAACAAAACTTAATAACTGTTGCCTTGCCACCTCCTCCAGCACCATTCTCCCTGTCCTTCCCTCTATTTCCAGAAATCAACATTGTTTTACACTTGCTTACATGGACTGAATTTTTATTTTTCTTATCTTTTGAGGAGATTACAAGACCAGCCACTATTAGTGGCTTTGGATCAGCTACAGAATGGATCTGACTATTCAGCTACATGTAATATTTCAGGGAAAATATGAATTCCTAAAGGCAGTTCAAAATTAAAAAAACAAAATCCTGATCCCCAAAACTTTTGTAGACTTTGGCTTTGCTGCTGAAAGTTTAGTCCCACTGTTTTAAATTCTGTTAGTATAATTTATATGTTAAAAAGACAGGACTTTATATATCTGTATTTTAGCTAAGTACTGAGAAAGTAATTACTACTTCTAGGCAGGTTATAATGATTTATATTTCTTACTCCTGCACAAATCTGCTTAAGGTGAAAGTCAGCATGCTGAATCTAAAAGAGTAATGAAAGTATAATTTTCCATTTTGCATTAAATACAACTAATGCTTGCACTGTTGGATGTTACAAGTTCCTATTGATATAAAATATAGAGTGCATGACATTTGTTCTATATCAGCTTTTACATAAAATTGTACTTTCAGATTGAGCACGTT